TATCTGTATATTCTGTGTGCTTGTGTATCTGTGTGTCAGTATATCTATATGTTCTGTGTGTTGTGTGTCTGTGTGTCAGTGTATCTGTATGTTCTGTGTGTTTGTGTATCTGTATTTTCTGTGTGTTTGTGTATCTGTGTGTCAGTATATCTGTATTTTCTGTGTTTTTGTGTATCTGTGTGTTAGTGTATCTGTATGTTCTGTGTGTTTGTGTATCTGTGTGTCAGTGTATCTGTATTTTCTGTGTTTTTATGTATCTGTGAGTCAGTGTATCTGTATTTTCTGTGTGTTTATGTATCTGTGTGTCATTGTATCCGTATGTTCTGTGTGTTTGTGTATCATTGTGTCAGTGTATCTGTATGTTCTGTGTGTTTGTGTATCTGTGTGTCAGTATATCTGTATTTTCTGTATTTTTGTGTATCTGTGTGCGAGTGTATCTGTATTTTCTGTGTGTTTGTGTATCTGTGTGTCAGTATATCTGTATTTTCTGTGTGTTTGTGTATCTGTGTGTCAGTGTATCTGTATGTTCTGTGTGTTTGTGTATCTGTTTGTCGGTGTATCTGTATGTCCTGTGTGTTTGTGTATCTGTGTGTCAGTGTATCTGTATGTTCTGTGTGTTTGTGTATCTGTGTGTCAGTGTATCTATATTTTCTGTGAGTTTGTGTAGGTATCTGTGTGTCAGTGTAACTGTATGTTCTGTGTGTTTGTGTATCTGTGTGTCAGTGTATCTGTATGTTCTGTGTGTATGTGTATCTGTGTGTCCGTGTATCTGTATGTTCTGTGTGTTGTGTATCAGTGTGTCAGTGTATCTATATGTTCTGTGTGTTGTGTATCTGTGTGTCAGTATATCTGTATGTTCTGTGTGTGCGTTTATCTGTGTGTCAGGGTATCTGTTTGATCTGTGTGTTGTGTATCTGTGTGCCAGTGTATCTATATTTTCTGTGTGTTTGTGTATCTGTGTGTCAGTGTATCTATATTTTCTGTGAGTTTGTGTATCCGTATGTCAGTGTATCTATGTGTCTGTCTGTGGCATCATAGCTTCCGAGCGGAAAAAACGATTTTGATTAACTTTTTTTTCGTCTGAAAGATGTATTAATCGAGTGTGTTCTAAGCTATTTTAAGAAATTCTGTTCAGCTATTTGAAGATCATCAGATTTCATTTCATTTTCATTTATAACTTATTTATTGACAATTGTAATTTTATAAAGTTATATTTTCCTTTCCGTTACTTACTTATAAATTATTTATACTTATACACATAAAAAGTTTAAAATGTATAAGTAATTTTATAAAATAAGTAAGCCCCATGTTCATGTGGGACTTACCGTTACAGATACAGCATGCCAAGCCAAGTCCACTGCTGAACATAGGCCTCCCCCTAAAGATTTTCTCATATGGAGCATATTTTTCATAGTTGCCATGCTTGGCAAGCGGGTTGATAACTGCAGTTTTTTTTTATTTTTAGTCATTATAAGGAAGACGTTTTAAGAAAAACGTTTGTGAAGGAAGACGCTGCTGCCCATCTATCCCTATATCGCCTCGTACGAGACCCACGGGATGATTTTGGGTAGTGGATATTATTACACAGCCACTACAGGGTACTTAAAAATGTGCAAATTGTTTTACTTGCGTAACACGTTCTAAAAGGCGACTAATAGGATGTTGGTCTATGATTGTGTAGGCGACGTATTATAGTCACCCGTCACTTCTTTCACACTTTTCATCTATGCTCCATATTTTGGATTAATTGTGATCCGAATATCTCGCTACTCTTTGGAATCTGCCTACCTTCACGGGGATTTAAGCGAGACGCTACCTATGTATGAATAAAATGTTTAAAATTGCCTTTGAAATTTTGACATTTATATATTACTTAAATAGTGTTATCATTTAAATTAATAATTGCGCCATATATTAATGACGTTTAAATTAGGATAGTTTTTGTGTTTTATTTTACTAACTTTAACATTATATTTATTTGTGAACTAAACTAGATTTTATAGAGTTAATTTTATTTGTATACTTTACAAACTGTTTGCGATTATAGCAAAAGTCTCGCCATTTTAATAAATGAAAAGATTATTTTATGTGACTTATTACGACAGTCTTAGTCTTAGCGACAACAATTAAAAATTAAAACTAAGACATGTTTACATTGATTTTTTATAGGTGCTTATCTGTATTACCTAAAGAAAGAATGTAGGGTTGTATAGGTTGCATGTCTTAGTATGAATTCAACCACACAAAAGAAAATTTTATTCTTAGAATAAATGGCGATTTATTCTAAAAAAAAATAAACAGTACATCAATTCTACGTATCATTTGCAATTCTAAGAATAGAAAACCTATTTGATAATAGTTACTAAACCACGCTTTGCACGGAAAAGCAGTTATTCCAAGAATATTTTAACGACTTTACATGTTTCTTCGCTAGTAGTACCGTCGGTGTAAATTTAAAACTCATTGTCATATATATTATTATATTTTGCACTTATCCTCTCTCATTTTGCATTTCAAAACACTGAATAATATCAATTGATATACACTCACTCATAATTCACATAGTAAAAATAAACACAACTAGTAAAACTTTAAAGCCTGTGAACAACTCGACGTTGACAGCTATTTTAGACATTATAGTACGAAAAAAGAGAGTGGATATGATATGAAATTGTATATATTGGAATACAAAAAATATTCATAAAATAATATTTTTGTCAGTTTTTAGTTCATCGTTTACTCGCTACTCGCCTATGGTTATTCTAAGTAAAACTATTATTTGCATTTGCATGGAAAAACGATACACGACTTTACTCGAAGTTTAAATCGTGGAATAGCTTATCCCTAGTGTAGTCCTCCATTCTTCTATAATCGAGGTTTATCGAATCCGCCCTTAATATTAACAATAATATATAAACAAAAATAAATTATTAATTATAATACCACAAAAAGAATACCATTAAATTAAATTATATAATGTAAATTAAACTAAACTATTATAAAAAAGTCTTAATTATTTATGTATCAATTGACCGGTCCTATATTGAATGGTTACGTATATTTTTACAAAACATTGACAAATATCTATATTTAATTTATTACGTTGTTTATTGTATTTTGTACGGATTACCTTTTTGCTTCCACAAAACTTAAAAAGCACTGGCTTAGAATAATTAAAGAAAACCTAAACTCAGATTTAAATTTAATGAATTTAATTGATCTAATGCTTACTGATGTAATGTTTCTCTGCGTGATAGACTCAGAAATGAGGATATCCGCAGTAAAACCAGAGTGACCGACATAGCCCAACGGATTAGTAAGCTGAAGTGGCAATGGGCCGGCCATATAGCTCGAAGAACCGATAACCGATGGGGAAGAAAGGTTCTCGAGTGGCAGCCTCGTACCGGTAGGCGTAGTTTAGGGCGACCCCCCACTAGATGGAGTGACGACCTGGTAAGACATGCAGGAAGTCGATGGATGCAGGTGGCTCAGGACCGTGCTTTGTGGCATTGCTTGGGGGAGGCCTATGTTCAGCAGTGGACTTGTGAAGGGCTGTAATGATGATGATGATTATGATGAATGTTTACTGTGTCAAATTTTAAGAAAAACGTTTGTGACGGGCGAGAGTACAAAAGTAATTTTGAAATTATCGTTAATAGTGTTGGTCACAGACACTAAAGTTCTCCATTCTATGTTCTGGTGTGTTGGTACAACAACGTCATCCAGACCGAATTCAGGTCATAGCGGTCCATCTCGGCATAGACTACCCGTCTGACCAAGAAAATTTAATTAAATTTAATTATAGTGCCCGAGTGTATGTGCAAGCACAGCTGCACTCTCTATTCAGTCAAGCTCATAGCTCAATGGAATGGCAATCCGACACACCCTTAGAAATATCAGGCGTATGACTAAAGGCTTTAGGTGCTTTATGAGGCGCTTAAACTTTTTCTAGTTAATTCGTCATTAGCAGTCAACTTTTGAACATGAGCAATATAATATTCAGCCTTTGTAAAGTTTAAATAAAATTTAATCAATGTAAGTAAACCACCATAACCTGCTTTTAAATCTTTATAAATTACTAGCTTATTTTTGCTGGTTGCTGCTGCAAAAAGGAATAATTGTGTAAATATCGTTTTAAATTTGGAAGAGTTATATTGTTTAATTAGGAGTGATAATACATTCATTGATATTGAGTAATAAACTTTTCAATAAAACTTGTACGTACGATATGCGCACCACCCTCTATTCTATCATCTTCGCAAGTAATAAGTTGACAAAGCTTAGCACGATCTGATAAACGGTGTGGTAACGCATAAAATACGATCAAACAAAAATTTATTTTTATATATTAGATATTAATATTGCTTCACTTTTTGTTGCAGATTGCAATAAATAAATAAAAGACAATTTATCAATAACTAAAAATGGAAAATATGGAAAATCAAATTGCTTTTTTCGACATACAAGCTGTTAATTCGACCAACATTATTTTCGACACAGGATACGAAGTTAATATGAACCACAGTGTATGGCCTATTGAAAAGTGCATGAATGTTCACCTACTTAACAAGTCTCTCGTTGAAGATCTAACGAACATCGCTTTTACTTACAATAACACATTGATTATTTGCTTGGAACATTCTCCCACTTTGACGAAAATCACAATTATGAAAGCAAGTGTGCTCTCTTTACTAGCTGTGTTATCATTTTTCGGTAATTTGGCTACACTTATAAGTGTAAAAAGAGGTAATAAAAGCAGAGGTCGGACAAGGCCATCTTGGACAGCAATTTATCGGCTCATTTTTCAACTGAGTATAGCGGATCTATTTGTTACGGTATTTTGTTTAGCTGGAGAGGCCGCATGGTCGTTTACGGTGCAGTGGTATGCTGGAAATGTGGCATGTAAAGTATTTAAATTTTTACAAATGTTTTCACTTTATTTAAGCACGTTTATATTGGTCCTTATTGGCGTGGATCGTTGGTTAGCAGTTAAATATCCAATGAAAAGTCTGGCTACTGAATCGCGGAGCTCCAAATTGGTAACCATTGCCTGGATCCTAAGTTTCCTCCTTAGTATCCCACAGGTAAAGAACTTATATTTAATTCTTTAAAGATTTATGAAAGGAAGTTTAAATATATTACACGCATTTTGAAGCTTAATTCCGTCTTTTTTCTCATTAGCCCATAATACATTCAGTTGCTCATATGCTATTCTATTGCAACAGTTTTGCTATTACGTATATGCTTTAACCAAAAAAGAATTGTATTAACTAATTCTATAATTATTTGTCGCACAATATGAACTGGTTCTAGTGATTATAATCGTATTTTTAATAACGACTGCAGTATATATTTATAAAAAATAACAACTATTATAACTTATAGTTGATTAATAAAAATATTCCGAGGCGGAATTATGCCGCCGAAATTTGCATGGTATATTTTCCGGCATAATTACGTTTTGTTTCAGGCTATAATATTTCGTGTTGCAAGAGGGCCTTTTGTAGAAGAATTTCATCAATGTGTCACCCACGGCTTTTATACTGAACGGTGGCAAGAGCAGACCTATACTACTCTCTCCTTTGTTTTTATGTTTATCATGCCATTGATAATTCTAATATTAACTTACATATCTACTGTTAGGACTATAGCAAGTAAGTATTTTATTTATACCTAATTTCTTATTTATAGAATAAGTGTGCATAAAATATGGGCTCCATAGACACCTAATTATATCCTTGATTATAAATCAAATTGCAGCTCTAAGAACGTATATAAAATGCCTTGTTTCAAGGAAAAAGATCTCCAGTTCTCTAAACTCACCACACGAAAAACAGCAGCACTAAGCTGCTATTTTACGGTGGTATTGTTTGAGAATGTAGTCCTCCCCAGTCGAGCCGACCCGTTCGTGTTACAACCGTAATAAAGTGGCAGGGGCAGGGTGACTCTACCATGTATTCAATAACTTGATATCCAAACGAGTTAACAGTGCGTTCAACGGATGTTACGTGATCACTGAAACTTTTGACGACCTGCAAACAACTTAAAATGAAGAAGACAAAAATACGTTGATAAAGTCATGGCAAAAATGTTTAAATTATATTTTATTGAATATCCAGCAGTAACAAAACTTCAATTAAGATTAGAATATGATGTCTTCCTTACCGATTCTGACCTTTACGATACTTACGTTATTAAGTTAATTTATTCTTGAGCGTCAGAACTAAGAATGGGTTTCATGGCAGCTGTTGCTACTAATGTGTCAGCCTCGGCTATAAAAACCAATAAAAATTACTAAGAACTATGTATAATTTATTTTGTTGGAATTGTAGATGCGCAAATAAAGATTCTATTGCATTCTAAAATAGTATCAGCAATTCGAAAAAAGAGGAAATCAGATACAAATTATAATTTATTTTTGTATAAAAAAGTAGTTTTGATTTGTTTATCTCAACAAAATTGCCCCATTCGGAATTTCATCTGTGTTGAGACCCGATAAATTATTTGTAGACCATACGATAATTGTTTCGCGTAGAAATAGAATTCTTGGCATGTAGCAATGTAACCAAACATTTAGGTATTGTGTTACCGAGCGGACAAATATATAATTTAAATTATAAATTGATATACATTGAGATACTAAACTAAATAATTTATTTTCTTCCTTAAAATGATAATTTAAAGCATGAAAGTTGATAAAAATAATGAAATTATAATATTTCACTTACGCGGTAAAGTTTTATTTTTCTACCGGATTGAATTATTTGGATCTTCTGCCTCAAATTATTTCTTCAAATCGGCACTAATCGACTAATCAGAAATAGTTAAATCCATTATTAAAGTACTTAAAATTTTCTCGGATTATTTAAAAATCTTAATTCTTTATCCATATAAAGAAATAAATGTCATGACAATAATCGGTCGTTTCTAAAAGTATTCGTTATAGATATAGTAGATTGAACCCTGAACAAACTGTTTTTCTCAGTTTATTTAAAATATACATTCACTCCTCACTTAGATAATCTTTCTTATATCTTCTTTTGAATAAAGTATTATTATAATTTTATTGTAGGTACTCTTGTAGTTTTTACGTGTAAATAATTACGGCCCAGACTCGTATAAGGACTGTAATATGCGTAATACGTGTAATATGCGTAAGTTTGTGGTAGAAATATTTAAAAGCAAACCAGTATTAAATAATAAATATTCCGATGTTACTTGAATACGAGTATGAATTCAATGAGTGAACGAATTATCGGTTTTATCTATTGTAAATTATCTCCTAAATTACAATTTTTTGCTTTTTTTATGCATTTTTTTTGAATATGTGCAATGACTTAATGATGAAATCGTGCAGACAGATAATATTACATTGTTAAAATTAATTAGAATCCTGTAATCTGCGAGAATTTCAAAATAATGTAAGCACAGATACACAGGTTTTACGAATAAATAACTAAATTAAAAAGTTACAGCTATATATGTCCCACGGCTGGTTACAGGCATAATCTAATTTGTAAAAGGGTTTTAGGACAAATGTCCTCCGCGCTGCCTGCTTGCGTGTTCGCCGAATTCACACAATGTCTTCGAAATATATTTTTTTTACTTCTCAGACGTCCAGTGAAGGTTTTCTCATTATATTTTGCTTCACCATCGAGCACGTGGTAAATTTTAAAGAGAATTTAATTAGTGTCATTCGGAATCGAACCGGGGTTGTTCACGTACTGTGAGCAATTATAGCGAAATTTAAAGCGAACGATTAATTATCACGGCTAGCACGATAAATAATTGAATTATAAATGCATGCTGAATTTATATACATTAGTGTTCTTATGAGAATTATAAAACATTCGAAAAGTCAGTAATTAAAATAAGTAAGAACCTAAGTAAATCCCCAAAATTGACTTTTATTCAGTTTGAAGTATTCGAATAAAATTTGAACCTTTGTATTGTTAAAGTTAATTAACTTCAATCTTTTATTTGGTTGAATTCCGGTAAATCTCTTTCACATCAATATTGGATCGAATTATTCGTTACGGGTATGATTTTATTACACAGTATTTATTCCCATCATATCATTCCAATCAGTTCTATCGTCGCCGCATTTAGCCATGTTTGTCCCTATGAAACAATTATAACAGTAAATTATGTCTTATTCCATACGAAATTATGGTTTCAAAAATCAATTTCTTAAAAAAGGTCTTATATTTTTTAACGGCCAATCAATAAGATATAAGAATTTCCAACGCGACGGGGTGTTAAAGTTCAGGTTATATATTATATTATATATAGATACAGTGTTCTTTTTCCAAGAGTATCCAAATTTTCTATTTATGTAAGTTGAAATATGTATAAATAATGATGTACCGTTATTGCAGTTTTTGAAAATACGTGCAAATATAGGTGTTTCAAAGTTTTATTTGAAACTAGATTTTTATCCGCGACTTCCCTCGCTAGGACTTCAATTTAGAAATATCATTAATATTAATAATAAAATAAAATAAAAAATTCGGTTTGTAGTAGTGTGTACCTAACACAAGACAACGCCTCAGTGGTAGCTCTTTGATATTTTGGACATTTTTAACTCTCTTTTTAATTACTTTACTTTCTGGAATATTTTCAGTTTGGTTTGTCCATTTTAATCTAATTAATAAAAAATATAACTAATATTTCAGAAAAAACGTCATTCTCTATACTTTTCAGACAAAGCTAAGAAATCTGTGCAACATTTCAAAACATTATTAAGTGACGACTCTCTGGTTGTAGAAAATGTCGTGGTCGTCATTATAAACTTTGCTTTGATACCTAATGATATCGATATTGTTGCGCGCCTAAGTTGACGTCTGGTACTTGGCACTAGCGCCATCTAGTGTCGGGGACCAGAGCGAGGAGGACTTCCTAGAAAATGTCAATCTTGAACTTTCCACCAACTGCGCCATCTAGTATCGAACAGAAGAATTAAGCGTTCTAGAAGCTCCACACTTGAACTTTCTGCGCCTGGTCGGTCGGCGCCCGTATGGCGAGACAAGCGAACCTTTGGAGCAAAATAAAGTGAATAAGTGTGATTAATTATTAGTGTCTTTTAAGTTTTAATTGGTGTTCGGTAATAAAAGTGTAAATTTTGGTAATTCAATCGGCAGTTTTATTGTCACGAACCCTAAGCTCGTAACAATTGGTGTCAGAAGAAGAGTGGGATCAAATCATGCCGATTTTACCTAAGGAGGAAACGGAGGGTGTCCGTACCCGAAGTCAACGCCAGCAGAAGATGGACCAGAGAAGATTTGGTGGTGCAACACCACAGACGTCGGGGGGCCAACTGCCAACCACGGAGGCTGGCCTGTCAGCAGCTCCTACACCTGCAGCATCTGACTTAGGTGCTCGTCATGATCGTCATGACGATCATGTTGCAGGTACAGGCCCGCCAGCAGGCGGAACAGGCACGCCGATTGGAAGAGCAGCTCAAACGCGATAAGGAAGAGCAGATGCTCCTCATGAAGGACATTCACGCTACCTTCGGGAAAGAGATAAGGGAGGTGAAGGATAAGGTTGCTCAACATGATAACCGCCTGTCGGAAGCTGAAACCCGAATCGACCAAGTGAATAATCGGGTTGACAACGTAATGGCTGACATGAAGAAATCACTGGACGAACTCAAACTTGGGAATGTAACTACAGCTCCCGTAGTAGCTACAACACCTTCGCTACGTGGGTTCAAGGTACCACCGTTCGACGGGACTTCTTCCTGGTCAGCCTACAAAATCCAGTTCGAGGCTGTTATGAAGGCAAACAGCTGGAATAAAAGTCAGGCCATGACTGCTCTCACACTAGGCCTGCGCGACCAGGCCTTAACAGTTCTGGAAGCTCTCGGTGAGGAAGTGACTTATGAGCAGCTCCTTGAGGCATTGGAGGCGAGATATGGCGACGCTCACCTGGAACACGTCTTTCGTGCGCAGCTTAAAGAACGCGTGCAGCGCATCAACGAAAACCTGCAGCAGTGGGCTCTAGAGGTGGAGAAGCTGGTGCGAAAAGCATACCGGTCTGTGCCTGGGTTCATTGAAGGGAACCTAGTGCAGACATTCATCGACAGCATCCGCGACCTTGAAGTCACAGCTGCTGTGAGGCTCGGGCACCATGAGACGGTTACGGTCCGCGACCACAATAAAAGTTACAGCCCAAGGTGCTACGGCTGTGGGGAAACGGGCCATCTTCGAGCCAGCTGCCCTAAGCGATCTGTAAAAAGGGAAGGTGATCGATTTCGAAAGGGTAGTGCGGCTTAAAGCACCGCCCAGCAGCAGCAGGAATACGACTTTCCCATCGGACACTACAGCGGGAAATGGCGAGGCAACACAGATGCATTGTCAAGAAGACCTTATCTTGATGATGGCGCGAACAGCACTAGGCAAGAGTTACCCTCTTGCCTGTGTTGTATTTACTACGTTTCGTTTTACGATCAATACTTTAACATGATGTTATACGATTTGTATAATAGAATTAAAATTCTATTTTATAAGTGTTAGCTATAAAATATATATATATAAAATAGAATTAAAAACAAGTTCTCAATGATACCTCTCTTTACCTACTAATAATACTGCATATACCGCATACTAAAGTAAAATATTAATTTTAATTTTTTTCATACCGTCTACAAAAAACTTCATTACATGATTTTTTTTACTTGAACTGGAACATGTTTATTAATACATTCCACTTTTAGTAAAAATTTATTATTCCGTTAGACTTTCAAATAATCTTTAGCCCGTTTACTATACTAAATTGTTTCCTTTTTTAGGTGTAATACCAATGATAATCATTACCATTTTGTAGTGTACACAAAAGAATTGTCTTCTTTGTTATTAATTATTGCATTTATTTAGTATGATTTTATTTATCAAACAAATCTTATAGCAAGAACTTCTATAAATTTGTTATTTCATACAATGTTTTTCAAATAACCTGTTCAATGATACACACCCACTTTTATTAAAATTGAAACCATAACTTTTGATAAAAATAATAAAAATTTCAAAGCTGCAAAAATTTCGGTTTATTTATTCACCTGTAGACGTTCCACGATGTCGACAATTTCATGCTTCGTATTAAAGATAATATCACCATTGGCAAATCGCGTAGATTAGAACAATGGTAAAATATATTAAGCCAACTCTTTGTTCTTGTTTATTCCTAAAAATAATCTTCTGTTTAATGATAAACCTTAAACTGTTTGGCATTTAGTATAAAAATAAAACAAAAAACTTGATAAAGTACGAAGGTTTTTAGTAGGTAATTGTTAATTATGTAAGTTTTTTTCTTTCGTTAGTGGTTTAAAATCTATATACATACAACTAAAATTGAGTATGTAACATCGAAATAACTGTCTTGCTCCAGGCATTTGCATGCCTTTAAGGAAAAATATTTCTTTTTAATTTATAATCTAATATATTGTAATTAAACTTGACGTAGATGTAGAATTTGAGCTATATTTATCCGAAAAATTTAGATTTTTTGTATAAATATTGAAAAGTAATTTCAAAATAAAAGTTCTAAATGATAATCTTAAATCTATATAGGTAACGCATTAATAGATCCAGACAAAGCCGGGGCAGGTCGATAGTGAACAATAAAATTAATAAATTAGTAAGTGAAATAACAGGAGAATTATTTAATACCTTGAACGCTATTGTAGATATACTAGTATTTTAGTAATGTCAATTCCCTAATCACACGTCATCTACCTAAAGAAAGCAAAATAAATAAATGTTGAAATTAAGTAATTTCTCTAACACATCGAAGAAAATTGCCACTTAAATTAAAATCGCAAAAGGGCACAAGAACTATTTTTTCCAAGCAGAGCTTTATGTAACTTCATTTTAAGAACCTATTTCTGGAGTCTGCGCATGTTGTATTGTTTATCATATCAATGGAGAGAGTTAAGCGTTGAACAACTCATCACTCTGGGCAGTTCGGTTGTTGAGTTTAGAGCCACTGATGACACTGGGCAGTTAAGTTGTTAAGCGTTGAACCACTCAGGACAGTTTGCAGTTGGTTTGTTGTGCCTAGGGCCAAATACCCTCGCTCTCCATCTGAAAACATCATCAGAAACTAGCTCTTCATCAAAAGTCTGTTTCAGATGTGAGAACTCTGCATTTTTAAATATTTTTATATTATTACATTTTTATATTTTTGATTTTCTGACGTTAGAGCCCCGTTTGTCAGTAACATGACAAACAAACTTGGCACTGGCGACTATGTTTACTATTTCCAGGTGAATAAACGCACTCCTTTAAGTCCCAATATATGCTACTATACCGGTATAGCCTATCAAAGTACACTGCCGAACAAAGGCCTCCCCCATATAACGTATTATAGGGGAAGTATTTGCCATAGTTAACACGCTTAGCAAGCGGGTTGGCAACTGGGTTGGTTACTACGAAGGCACTGGCGAAACGGCGATATGGGGTACAAGGGTATTTATGTACTATATATATATATATATATATATATATATATATATATATATATATATATATATATATATATAGTACATAAATTACCGTGTAATGGCGGTGTAAGTATATCCACTACCCCATATCATATGCATGATTATGATTTAAACATTTTAATGTAATGAAATTTAGAACAATAATTTCAGGAAGCAAAAAAGTATTCAAAACTGAAACTAAAACACACGAAAAATATTCCACATTGGATTTGAATAGGAGGCGGTTAATTGATAGGGCGAAGATGAAGTCGTTGCGAATGTCTATCGTTATAGTTGCGGCTTTCGTTATATGGTGGACACCTTACTACATAATGATGATAATGTTCACATTTATGAATCCTGATAAAAATGTGAGTAGCAATTTATAACATTTTTTAACATTAAATTTTGTCGTTTTTTTTCTTGCTTTGACCGACAACCGACGAGGAAGAAAGGTCCTCGAGTGGCAGCCTTTTACCGATAGACGAAATGTAGGGCAGCCCCACAATAGATGGAGTGGTGACCTGGAAGGACATGAGTCGATAGATGCAAGTGGCTTAGGACCGTGCTTTGTGGCATTACTTGGGGTAGGCCTATGTTTAACGTTGGACTTGTGAAGAGCTGTAACGGTGATGATTACGATATATTTGTATTGCCCGTATTCGTATGTCTATTTTATTATCGCATTTTTTTGTTAAACTAGTTTTAGAGAGGAATTAACTTAATCGCCATACTTCGCAAGTGATTGAAAATCATACTAGCAGGCGTCTTTTACCTTCGAGTCTGCTCCCCATCGACGGTGTGAGTATTTTGCACCTGCCATGAGATCTTTTTGACTTTTCCCTTAGTTATCCATTAAAAAAATCCTGTGTAATGCGGAAACTTAGACAAAATATTATAAACTACTGTGTTCAGAGTTGAGTGCATAATTTATATACGCAGATTTATTAATTATTTACTTTTAATTTTATTTTTCAGTTAGGGGAAGACCTTCTCTCGGGAATTTTTTTCTTTGGCATGTCAAACAGTTTGGTTAACCCTATTATATATGGCGCTTTTCATTTGTGGCCGAAAAAGAAACGCTACAAAGGAAGAGATAAGTATGCATTTTTAAAATTACATCTCTCTCCCTTTTAATAACACATATTGAAATACATAAATAAAACATCATATGTTCTTTAATTACCGAACATTCTTTAACTATAAAGCATCTTATTCGATTACCATCGTTATATCTTTTACTTACGATTTTTTGTAATGGATGATAATGTTATCAAACTATATCATAAAAAAGCATATTCAAATAATATGTACGAGTATGTGACATTCGTATGATCATCTCGAATAATTTATTGACTTTTACTGTATGCTACGAGTATATTGGAGTTAAATTTTGCCATTTAATATATAAATAGCGTTTAACGGCTTTTAACTTTGAGTATTTTCAATATACATATATTAAAATATATTGAAAATACTCAAAGTTAGAAATAGAGAAAAAAGGATAGTTAAACAAATAATACAATTAGTTCTCTTATTTAAAAAGTAAAATAATGAAATTATCTATTGACTTTAATCCCTATTATACCGTATAAAATATCAAATATCTGGATTTACATGTGTGGAGGAAAATCTAACTTGTACTTTGTATGTATAAATTTCTATTGTATTGTTTGTATATTTTCTGAATGTTTCTATACGCTTTCGTACTGTAATGTATAAATTATTATATTGTGGATTATTGTATTTTTCCTGAACCAGTGGTATAGCTTTAGTGATATTCAAAAAATATTCTTGTAATCGATATTGAATAAACATTATTGTTTTGTATTCTATTTTATCCTATTCTATAAAGGTGTGATTTCTACTTTGTTGAACATTGTTTGCACAAATAAGCTATTAATTATTGGTATAAGCTATTAAGTAAAACAACACAAAACACGTCAACGTTAATACCTTTAGACCAAATTTCGGTTACGGCGGCCAGTGTCAACGGAAACTGGCCATCTGCGCAGGACAATATTAAATAGCACACGAGTCTCTCACTCTCACTTTCTATTGTATTTCTGGCTTGGTATTCGAACCCGGAACTGCAGGATCAGCAGACACACTTGCGACCACTAGGCCAATGAGGCAGTCAACACAACATTAACATTGCATCAGCAAGCGAGTGCGATGCGGGCGGCTTGGAGGAATAGTTAGCATATTCCGTTTACATATAAAAAACTGGTACAGATTGTATTTGAATATAAATAATTCAATATGTTTCTTAATGCATAAAAGTACAAACATTATCCCTGATCCTATATTATAGCTTTATCATTTTTATAATATAAAGAAGTATATTGGTGGTGTTAAATTTACAAGGACGTATTACTCGTAAAAATATTTGAAGTATTTTCATAACGGCTGCCATCGAAATAAAACAACCATGAATAAAATACAAACATAACTATTATTAAGTCGTAATAAGACTATAACATTTTGTACTTAGCCGTAGTACGTTATAATAGCTAAATATGTACCTAACAGTTTAGTACTTTAGAACATCCAATATTAAAATGAAATCGACATTTCGCAGGGACTCAGGGGGTCAACAAGCTTCTTGGCTGCGCCGTGGTGATCAGACGTCTTCTGTCAAGCTCACAACGATTAGATCAATACGATCATCAACAAAACATTCTAATGGACAAAATGTAACTTTTCTTTAATTGTACAAAACAATAATAAAATAAAATAATAATAATATTGTATATTTAATATGACTTTATTAATGTTGTGGAATTTGCGACACAACTGCAGTATTTTATGCGAAATAAACAGTAGTTTTACACAGATCGTGTTACTTTAATGTGCTTAACCACTACGTTATTGATATTGGGTTATAATACTTCGTTATTTATACAGCCAGTCTATATTTGTAGAAGAAACAAAATTTTTGTATTTAGGTTTTGATGTCAAATACATATTAATTTTTGTTGTATAAGAGAGATATGCTGCTGCTATGTTAGTGCTGCAAAATGATCAGGTGCTCACCAGAAGAAGAATCACGCTACCAGAGAGTACTAACAAGCGTACCTATGTTTCATAAGATGAATATAAAGTACTGGAGACCCTATTTTTGGTGCTAACGCATCAACATTTTGATTTATAATCGATGACAGAAGTGTCTACGAGCCACAGAATTCAAATGCCATCAGTGGACTATGTGCTTGTTTGTCGCGCATACTTGTATGACTAAATGAAAATTAATCTGAATCCGAAATCTTATACTAACGCATACGCATTACATCCGATTTGGTTAAGTTCTAACGAGTAACTGCCTCCATTGTTTTTTCACTGCTAGACATAGGATAGGTCCTTCTGGAATACAAATAATTTCATAGATAATTAAAAATGCCCCTACTTTCCTAGCTAGGCTGGCGTGTTGATGAGTACAGATTCAACAATCAATACCCGATACCCCATACCCGGGACCCGTTATGCAGCTTCCCAATGCCAGTCTTATCTTAGAACCCACAACCTTCAGATATAAAAAAGAAAGAACATTTATTTAGTAAACAGATTTCGTAATACAAAAGACAAAAACTTGTACATTCAAACAAGAAAAGTACCTCTGAACGACTCTGTAGCAGTACCTTCGGTTCTGGTTTTCTGTTGGATCCTTGTGCCTTCGCTGAGCTTCATCGAGCCACCCGTTTAGTCTTATTTAAAATTAGTTAACAATAGAGTGTAATTACCATAACTATACAACAAATATATATTATTATAGGGAAATTATTAAACATTTTTACGTGGTAGAGCCATGCTGCAGTTAGTAGTATAGTTGTAGCACGAATGGGTCGGCTCGACCAGGGAAGGACCAAGCTCTAACAGAATACCATCGTCAAATAGTAGCTTAATGCTGCTGTGTTTCGTACAGTGAGTGCAGAGAACCGGAGACCCTTTTTACTCGAAACGAGGCATTCCATCTAAGTCCTCACGGTGTCTATGGACCGCAGTAACCAGTTACTATCAACTGTGGACTGTGTGCTCGTTTGTCACTCTATCCTATAAAAAAAAAACACTTTACAATATTGACTTAAGCAGCATTTTATTATTTTGGTGATTGTTAATGTTAAAGTCAGATCTGCAAAACAATAATATACATAGTGCAAATAAAATTTTAGTTGCAGTGCAATTATATCCACCACCTAATATTATCCCGTGGATGTCGTAATAGGTGAAAGAGGGACACTGAACCAGGAGATGGGCAGCAGCATTTTCCTGTTAAAACTACGTAGCCACACCTGGCAAGCGGTTGGCAACCGCTTGCCAAGCGTGGCAACTATGAAAATTACTCTTCTATGAGGAAAATTATAGGGTAGACCTATGTTCATCAGTATTAGTAGAGAACCAGATACCCTTTTTACATTTCCAGTAATTGCATTGCATTTTAGTGCTCAGGGGTGATAAGCATTTGCATTTTGATTCTTAATCGAGAATTAACGTCAATGTCTATGGGCCATGGAATCTACTTACCGTCAAGCGATCTGTGTGCTTGTTAAAGTTAAGTGTAAGGGTTATATATATTACACCTTATCCTATATTAAAAAAATTGAGTAAAATGCAGCTAGGTATATAAAAATAAGCCAAACATTGTTACTACAACAAAAATTAGGTCGCTTATTATGTAATCATGCTACTGGCGTTACATAAATTAAAAACTATGTGAGAAAACGTTTAAAATAAACATTTAAGATCTATTAATTTAACGTTCCTTTAACTCCAATTAATGACTTTGTTGTTAAAAGTTGTTGAAGTAGAAAAAAATCATTATAAAAAAAGATATTGTGCATCAAAGCATTAAGAGATAGAAAATAAAGTTTAAGTACTTTTTTATATCTCTTATGCTCTAATACTCAAACGCTGCTCAATTTTAAGATGTTGTTAAGTCTCGTTGTTGTGTCAAAGCATCTTAACCATATCTAAAAATTGAGCAGCGTTTGAGTATTTGGGCATAAGAATTTAAGAGGTTATAATCAAAACTATTCATTTCATCAGTTTTTCATTTCACAATACTTCCTGAGAATGAGGGTGACAAACGAGCACACAGTCCAGCTGATGGTAAGTAGTTGCTGTAGCCCATAGACATCTACATCTATCCTTGATTACGAATGAAAATGCAGATGTGTTGTCACCCGTGAGGACTAAGATGGAATGCCTCCTTTCCAGTAAGAAGGGTTTCCGGTTCTCTACACTCACCATACGAAACACAGCAGCGTTAAGCTGCTATTTTACACTGGTATTCTGTGAGAGCGTGGTCCTTCACCGGTCGAACCGACCCATCCATGCTACAACTATACTACTAATATAGCTGCGGCATGGCTCTACCACGTAAGACCAACGAGGCATTCCATAGCCAAAATAATTTCTGTTAATGTACTATATTTATCCGTTCTTGAGTTTCATTACAAACGAGTAAGCCATTGCGTATGGCTGGACAGACTGACAGACAATTTAAATAAAATTAAGTACTTAACGTACTTACGTAAGCCATTTCTTTCGATATTAAAAACAGAGACTATAATTAAATTTATGTGTAAGTAGTTAAAAACTGTAAATAAAAATAGGAATTTCAATTATCAAGTTCATAATTATGCGTACATTTTTTATTATGGTTCAGAATTATCGAATAACAAAAAAAAAACATTATTTATCACTCCTAAAAAGTGAACATTATGAACAAACATAACTGTGACATTTATTTATTGACTGACATGAGAATGCCTCGGCTTTTCACAATCTGTTTTTAAAGTATCGAATATCATTTGAAGTTAAAATCCTGCTCTTTGAATTCCACTATTTTTATTTTGGATTCAGCCATTGATAACACAAAATTTTCCGTATAGTCATATAATCGTAGGGCCAATTTTAGCGTCAATTGCTATTAGTTAGGACCGTTGTCACAATTGAGAGCATTTAATAATATCAGTCATAAAAGACCGCGAAGGTTAGTCGTCAGATCGTTATTGGACTATGTTATTAGTTCTTTTATAATATGTACATTTGTAGTGAGCTCATAACTGTATGATATTTTATATGTGAGTTTGTAGGTTATTTACGAGATATGCTTGAATAAAATGTTCTTCCCTAGGGTTTGAACTTTAACTTTCAAAGCAAATCCAGTAAGGGCGTCACTTTATTTACAACTATATTATTTGCAGGATACTCACTAAATCTAATTACTTTAGGTTTTATATTCGTTGTCAAACTCTATTAAACTTTTTTATTGGTTTGTGTTATTCGCTATTTGGTAGCGGCAAACTCAAAAGTATCTCATGGCCTCGGATAGATGGTGATGTGACCATCTTGTGAACGCTAAAGTTAAAATTAGAAGAATGACGCGCACATGTTACTATCACGAAATATTATAGTAAGAATAATAATTTCCTCCAGACCAAATTTCGACCACGGCTGCCTGCCTCAGCGGAGGCTACCTATCGGCGCAGGACAGGATTATAGTGCCCGAGTGTATGCGCAACCACAGGTGCACTCTCTATTCCCTCACTGTCATAATCCGATGGGACGGTAAACCGACACGACCGGAGGGAAATCAGGCACAGGACCAACGGCTTTACGTGCTTTCCGAGGCACGGGGGGTGAGACACTGCCAACTTCCTGACTCCGGGCAACTACTGAGAATTTCTTGACGGAAAAACTCAATAATTAGTTTTTTTGGCTCGACCCGGGATTCGAACCCAGGACCTCACGATAAGCAGTCGTACTAATACAACCACTAGACCAACGAAACATAGATTCATGACAATATCATGTCCTTGACAGCTGAACCTTAAGGATATATGTAGTATAATTATACAAAAACTCTTTACATTAAATTTGTGTGTCTGTTGTTATAAACGCAGATAAGTATAATAATGTTCTCCAGATCAAATTTCGGTCACGGCGACCAGTTCTAACGGAATCTAGCCGTCTTTGCAGGACGGGATTAGTGCACTCGTGTTTGTGCAAGCACAGGAATATGAACTATTTCTTCACTCTCATATTCCAATGCGACAGCAACATGACACGACCGAAGAGTGATGAGACGCAAAAGCAATGGCTTTATATGCTCTCCGAGGTATGATAGTAAGTATAAGTAAATCATCGCCAATTTCTTCTTTAGGAAGATAGGATGATTTTTTTTGTCTTCGAATAGAAATAGAAACTTTTTTATTCAATTTAGATTATAATAATACTTATTAAACTGACACTCTACTCTCGCTTTAATAGGCTCTAATACCACCAAATTTTAATTAACGATTTCATTGATTGCGCGATTCGAAATAGCTTACCGCTTGCTTACGTCCTAAAAAATATTAAGGCGCTCGTAAATTTCATTATCCTTATAAATATACATGAAATGCTTATCCACTGTGCCAACACGGCTTTCTGAGCACTTATCTCCTGTAAAGTCATGAAATAGAGAATGCATAACCACAATAATGTTTTTTTGTAGCAGTGGGGGTAAACGAGGCCTTCCTTTCCAAGTGAACGAGGAACTGAATATCCTTAGATATGTCAACGCCGAGGATTCCGTTGCTCGCTAAGGCATGATGAGATACGACAAAGGGGTTCTTTTTAGCGGTAAACGAGCAAACCTGTGTCATATGAGGAGTAAACTGGACTAGATTTAGTCGTCCCCCATCCGAGACTTTGCTTAACAAAGACT